CAGCAGTTCAGACCTTGATTTCTAATGCAGGATTGGTTATTTGTTCAGTTTAAAGTTTTTTCTTTACCCCTTTAAGAGCTACAGTGTATGGTGAAAGTGGGTGCATTTAAAAATAAAACATTAGAAAGAGGAAGGCTCCAGGTCAGGGGGAGTAAATATGGACCCACAAGTGTTAATTCAAGGATTTTTCTTTTTGTTCTTGCTTACAAAAGGAGCAGTGATTTATATTGGATTTTAGAATACGGAAAAATAGTTAAACTCCCAAGAGTACATCGAGTAATCATTTTAATTACCATAATAAGCTATTATTTCCTGTATATATTCTTTTATTTAGTTTTTATTTTTTTAGATATTCGCCCAAGGATATGCTTACATTGATTTTTAGAGAGAGACGAAGGGGGAGAGAGAGAGAAACATGGATGTGAGAGAAACATCAATGGGTTTGCCTCCCTGTGGGTTGCCTCCCAGCTGTGCCCAATTCTTAATATGTGCCCTGACAGGGAATTGAACTCGAGACCCTTCTGTGCACAGAACCACACTCCAGCCAACTGAGCCACGCTGGCCAGGGCTCCTGTATATATTCTTGTCATTTAGATGGCACAAGCACATTACACTTTTTACTAAGAATTTTTCTTTTTTTTTTTTTTTAAATATATCTATTGATTTCAAAGAGAGGAAGGTAGAGGGAGAGAGAGAAACACCAATGATGAGAGAGTCATTGATCGGCTGCCTCCTGCACGCCCCCAGCTGGGGATCCCAACACCCCTGGGCACATGCCCTGACTGGGAATTGAACAGTGATCTCCTGGATCCTATGTTGATGCTCAATAGCTGAGTCACTCCTGGCTGAGCGAGAATTTTTCTTTTTAACTGTGTCTCCCCACCTCCCCAAGTAACACATAGGTAGTCTAAAACATTTGGCAACAGGAAAAGGTAGAAAGAAGGGCCTAAAAATTACCTCAGCCCCACTGTTGAAAGGATGTTAATGTGAATATTTTGGTGTATTCCTTCCCAGGTTTTTTTTTCTTTTCTTAAATATGAGCTTTGAGACATTTAGGTTCCTGGGTGGTGTAATTTGCAGTAAATGTTGATTAGAGATTTTATTTTTCAGTGCTTATTTCCCCGTAGGACACGCCAATTTGATTTTGATTCTCTCACAATATTACCTTTTCTTATGTAGGAAAATTATTAAAGTGGCCTTGTTTATTTAAAATAACCAGAATTACAGTATTTATAGAAATGTTAATTTTGTATTATTGATACGATACATATAACATGTGGGCAATAGGAATGATATATGATTAGTCACCAATCAATAAAACTAATCAGTTTTTCGGTGCTGAAAAACTTATAATAATTGTGTGCCAAGTTGAGCTACCCCTTTTTTTTTAAAAAAACAAAACTATCTGAGCTTGGATGCGGTAAAAATTAGAGGGTAAGATGGAAATACTGACAAATACTTAACCATAGCATAGCAATCTGTCACTATAATTTTCTTCAGAAATAAATGTTTTCATTTGTCCTGTAATGTCTGAAATTACTGCCAAAGCTAGAAATGTGTTTAGCTTTCTCAGCAAAATTCTTAAGAGGATATTGTCAGAACCAACAATTCAGAATTATCTTTACTCTTAAAGTTGTCCTTTGCCCACTTTTGTTTGCCCTGTTCTTTTTCTTACGATTCTTTGAATTAATTTGCAGCTCAGCCAGATAAGGCAGTGTTCCACTGAATTGTCCTTTTCAGTAGATTTGTCCGGGAGATCCTTCATTCCCTTCTTTCCCTTGCCCTTCATTCTACTAGTCATCAACAGCTCGGCAAAGACGGGCTGCAGACTCAGTGCCTGACTTCTTTCACGTGCCAGCATGTCTGTGTATCATGAGGAGAATCAGAATTATTTTCCTACCTTGAAGGCCAATGATGAGAATTTCAGAGGAAGAGTTTTAACTTTAATGATTCACGGAAACAATGTTGCAAACAATGGTTCCTTTACATTTATATATCGTGAGTTGTCTGGATTTTATGTGTAGCATGTAGTGAATTCAGTACTTCTGTTTTGATTGCAAGTGATAAGGAAAAGGGTAGACTCTCAGGTGCTGTAAACTAAATGTGCAGGCATCAAATTTGTATTGAGTAGCTTAGTTTTTGTGGTTTTTTAAAAATTGATTTTTAGAGAGAGAGGAAGGGAGGGGGATAGAGAGATAGAAACATCGATCGGCTGCCTCCTGCACGTCCCCTATTGGGGAATGAGCCCACTACCTGGGCATGTGCCCTGACCGGGAATCGAACCTTCACCTCTTGGTTCAAGGGTTGATGCTCAACCACTGAGCCACACTGGCAGGGCTGGCTTAGGGATTTTTTTTAAAATTTAATAACTAGTGTTTGCCGTCTTTTTTAAGAGCTACATAAATCTCATATCATTTTATAGGAATGAATTTTTCATTTCAAGTTAGTTGAACAAAAGTTACAGTATGCTTTTATGGTATTTTGTTGCTAAGTGCCTAGATTTGGAGTTAGGGGCTTTTAAAAAATAAGCTTTGAGGCCTGAACATTTCATTAGAATCTTAATGTGGCTAAGAAGTTTCATACGTTGTAACATAGTTTTTGGTATAGTATGTGAAAATCCATTAGATTCATAAGAAGATACCTAAGAACTATTTGAGGTGATTTGTTTTTATATATTGTGTCTCCTGAATTTTAGGTCTGCTCCAAGAAAAAACATGGCTGCAAAGGAGAAACTGGAGGCAGTGTTAAATGTGGCCCTGAGGGTGCCAAGCATAATGCTGTTGGATGTCCTATACAGATGGGATGTCAGCTCCTTCTTCCAGCAGATCCAAAGAAGTAGCCTTAGTAACAACCCACTTTTCCAATATAAGTATTTGGCTCTTAATATGCATTATGTAGGTAAGTATATCACCTTTTGTCATCTCTCAGTGAGACATGATAAATGTTTATGAATCTTGTTTATAGTCTTACCAATGCATGTGGCCTATTAGGGTTGCATTTATTTTACTGGATGAAACTAGACAGTAGAAAACATTTTAGATTTTAATGTGATAAAATGTAAATAATGAGGAATACCTTTCCAGACATTTAGCTTGTTTTAATTTGTCATTATTTTGGGTTTTGGTAGTAATTCAGAAAGTAAGCTTCTTAAAATGCAGTATTCTTCATTGTTCCAAAACATTAATATCAGATGAAAATAAAGCATTCATTTCAGTTAAATGTGGGAAATGATATTATAGTATTTTCTTTGAAACTACCTCTTGAAATATCATTGATATGATTTGAGGTTAGTGATAAAAGTAATGTTGAGAGGTTAAAGAAATTAAAGTCAAGGTATACAGGCAGGAAACAGATGAAATTCATCTATAATAAAAGTCATGATCCTGCCCAACCGGGCGTGGCTCAGCGGTTGAGCGTCGACCTGGGATCCAGGTGATCAGAGTTCGATTCCCCGTCAGGGCACATGCCCGGGTTGTGGGCTCGATCAATGACTCTCTCATCATTGATGTTTCTCTCTCTCTCTCCCTCTCCTTCCCTCCCTCTGAAATCAATAAAGATATATTTAAAAAAAAAAAGAAAAAAGTCATGATCCTTAATTTTTTGGTTAATTTTTGGTTTACATGTAATGATAGCAACAATATATTTTATTTAATGTTGCTATTGCATAACTCAAGACATAATTTGAATGATGTATATAGTGGTTTTATTAATATTTTTATTAGAATTGCCCATCAACAAGTGTATCTTTTATAAAATTGTGAAGGGTTGTTCTTTCTCTTTGAGATTTACTTTTATCTATAGAAGGACTTCTTGAGTTCCAAAGCTTAGCCCTGAGAACTGCTTACAGCTCTAAGAGATTATTTATTACCAAGTAAGTCATTGTAGGAAGAAGTAAGATCTAGTAGAAAAGAATGTGTTTTGGAAGCAGAACATGTGAGTACAATAAACTCGTCTCTCTTAGGTGGTGCTACTTTGGGAAAGTCTGTGAAATGAGAAGGTTCTTTTATGCTGCAAAACGCTATAATTCTCAGCCCTTTATTAAAGGCTTTCTATGTTAGCCAATTTATGGAAAATAATTCCAGTCTGTTGTAGAAGAACAATTGAGTACTTGGCTTAGATGTTGAGCTTAATCAGCAAAGTAATTTGCATTGTGGTTTAAAAAATGTGCTTATCGTGTATATTATTCCTGAATAGATTTAAATATTTATTACAAAAACAGCCATCTAATAACTAGAAACATTAATTTTAGAAATTGAATGTGTTCTAGTACAGTAGCCATTCATGCTCACTGATAACAACTTTGTGAACGTAATTTGGCCTTCTTAAATACACTTAGTACATGCTATGGTAGAGTAAGCTCAGTGATTACACAAGTAGCTAATTTCAGCTTGAATAGTTTTTTGATTGGAGAAACATCTGTGTCAAAGTATTAAGTAGTGTTTATGTAATGTTCTTAATTATAGAATTTTATCCTTAAAACACATTTTAAAAAATTCTTAATTTTTAAAATTGGTAATGTATTTATGTTAAAAAAAATCAACAAGCATAAAAAGTATACAGTGAAAAGTATCTTTCCCTGTATCTGTTCCTCATTCATTAAGTTCTCACTCAGAGCCCCAACAAGCAGGTATTTTTATTTCCTTGTGTACGACCTTAGAGATATTTTTATGTATATATAAGTATAAAAATCTACTGATATAGAAATGTAAATATAATAAGTTTAAGTATATGTATTTCTCCTTTTTGTAAGATAACATAGTGCACATTTCTGAACCTTTTGTTTGTTTTAACTTACTGATGTATCATAGAGCCACAACCACTGCTTTTACATAGTCATGAAATAAAGCTTTGTACTCTGTTCTGCCAAGTCATATAATGTTGAGGCCTCACTCTCCCCCCAACACTCTAACTGGATTGTAATGGCATATATGGCTATACCTTAGTCTATTGAACTAATTGTAATTACTCTATTAGTGGACATTTTAGATAGCTCCTGTCTTCTATTTCATTAAGTATTGTACTAAATAATTTGGTATAGCCATAATTTCATCAGGTGCAAATACAGTGTTGGGATAAATTGCTTGCAGTGAAGTGAGTGAGTTAGTGTATGTGTTTGTAATACTGAGCGATAGCACTCCACAGGGTTTTTCTGTTTTGTACCCCCACAAACAGTGGCTGAGAGTCCTGTAGTCTTACGCCCTCTTCAAAACTATTAGTAAACTTTCATTTAGCTACTTTAGTAGGTGAAAAATGGATTTTTTTACATAGTTTTAATTTTTTATGTCTTCTTATGAGTGAGATTTAATTTATTTACATTTAAGAAAAATGTGTATTTCCTCTTGGGAGAGTTGTCAGTTAACGTCGCTTGCCTGCTTTTCTATGAGATTGTTAGTCTTTTCTTACCAGTTCATGGGAGAAATTTACCCTTTGAAATTATTTTTTCCAGTTTCAGTTCTCTTTATTATGATGGATTTTTGTTTTGACATGCAAAATTTGTTTTTGATGTTGAATTTATTGCTTCTTCTATTATAACTTTAGGATTTTGAATCAATTAGAAAAGCCTTTCCTATTCTTAAGTTTATAAAGAATTCTATCATGTTTTATTGTAGAATTTTTGTGGTTTTATTTTTTACATGGCAATCTTCGCTTTGTTTGGAATTTATAGGTATGTACGGTGTGTTACAGGTACAATTTTTTTTTTTCCCAGAAAACTGTCCAGTAATCTCCATGTATGTATTGAATAGTTTAGTTCAGTGTTTTTTGAGTGATTATTATATACTAAATTATATATATACTACTTATTAATCACATACATTTGTTCCATTTCTTTTTTTTTTTTAATTTTTATTGATTGATTGCCTTTAGAGAGAGGAAGGGAGAAAGAGAGCACTGATTTGTTGTTCCACTTGTTTATGTACTTATTAACTGACTCTTGTAGGTGCCCGGCTGAGGTCGAGTCTGCACCTGGGCGCACGGGAACAGCATTAACCAGCTAAGCCACCTGCTGTTCCATTTCTGAACTTTTTTCTGTCCTTTTTTTTTTAAAATCCTCACCCAAGGATAGGCTATGTTTATTGATTTTAGAAAGAGAGGAATGGAGAGAGAGAAATAAATATCGATTGGTTGCCTCCTGTATGCCCCTGGCCAGGGACTGAACCTGCAGCCGCTCGGTGTAGCGGATGACACTCCAACCAGCTGAGCACCCGTCCAGGGCTCTCCTGTCCTTTTGGTTTCTCTATCTTACTAGTGAGGGTTTAGATTTTATTTTGCCATCTGATAGAGTTAATCCCTTCATTGTTTTTTATTTCTTCCTCTGAGTTTTTCTGTTGGTGGTTTTCTATCTGAATTTTAGAATTATCTAGTCTTTGTAGCTCAGTGTTTTATTCATACTCCTCTCATTCTTGCATAAGTATTCATAGTCTCTCAGAAATCTTCTTGTGCAATATGTTATTGTTATCACAGAGTTATTTTTTCATTGGAATGTGAAAGGGGGGGGGGTGTGAGTGAGCCATAGGGTTCTTTGTTTTGTTTTTTGTTTTCTTGCCTAACCTAAATGGGTCCCTAAGGGATTTGAATTCAGTCTGAACTCCTGTTGTCACATACAAGGCTTTATATTGAGGCTTTAGCCACCAGTTCTGTCACCACCATCTCCCAATACCCTCCCAGTATTCTTTCTGTTTAGCCTACAGAATTTACTGTCTCCTGAAAACATCCTTTGTGTTTTTATGGTTTTCGTTTCTACTATTCTCTTTTCCTAGAATGTTTTTCCTTTTCTTAGCCTGGTATAAAGATTCATTTACCCTTTGAGGTCCAGCTCAAATTTGATCCCTTAACGAACCATAGCCCTTCTGATGTTTGCTTATTACAGCACCAATATTGTGTCATACTTTTGTCCGTGTTTATATTTCACTAGACTGTGATCGCTTTATTCTCCTTTGGATCTTGCATGTCTAGGAATACATATGGGTCATACTTTACGTGTAATAATGTTGGTTAAGTGACTGGATGATTGAAAGAATGAATTAAACGAATATGTTCTATCTAGAGGATTTGGCAGCTGATTTTATCAGATGTGCAGGAGGAGAGAAAGATAATGTCTGGAAAGGAAAATAATAGTTCATTAAAAGACAGAATTTAAGGAGAATTTTTATGCCACAGATTGATTAGAAAAATTCTTTAGCCATCAAAACTAAAAAGACTTGCTAAATATAAAATCCTTTTAAATTCCTCTGAAGTCCTTCGAGATAGGGATTAACAAAATAAATTTGGGAAATTATTTTAATTTCCTAATAGAAGCACTTACCTCTGGCTTCTGCTGGATTGTTCTTGGAGTTAGGATGTGTGTGAAATCTGAATTCTACTTCTTTAGTCCCTAGCACCCTCTCCTGTTTCCTTAGCTTTAAGCACAGTGGTTGAGTCAGTGTGAGAGGGGCATTAGGTGCTAAGAAGGGATATCTGTGCCCTAATAAAGACTCATTTAATAAGTGGAAAATAGGTATAGGAGAGGAGACAAAGATCAAAGTTAACCTGGAATGTCAGACTGAGAAGTTTAGAACTTTAAAAGGTTTTAGAACAAGAGAGTTGTCTTAGATGAAAGTGATGGTTTTGAGAGTATTACCTTGGCAGTGAAATATAGGTTGCATGAAGATGAAAGGAGACTGAATGAAGAATAGCAATTAGTATGCTTATATATTACAGAGCAGGTTAGGATGACCGTAGGGACTGGAAAGGAAGGGTAACATGTGACAGCCGTATTGAGAAAGGCTCAGCAGGACTAGGTAATAGGAAGAAAGATGACTCGGGTGAGTCAGCATGAATGGGATTTAGGAGAGGGAAAGGAGGTGGACAAGCTTGTCGTGGGAGGAAGAAGGGGGCTGAGTTTGTACATGTTGCACATGAGAACACCTAACTGGAACGTGACCGGGCATCATGTACCATGAGATGTCTCCTTAGAATAAGACATGATTAAGTCTTTTTGCTTGTGTAATAGGTTCTCGGTAACTTTTTTGATAACGTACATCTGGAATGGTATGTTTGAAGAGCACACTAGATTCTTGGAGCTACGTATTTTATAGAGAAAAGTTGTTGTCCAGAGACTGATAGTCTGTGTTCATTTGAGAGGGTGAAAAGAAAGCAGAGGGGAGGGCTTAGGGGTGACAGGAAGCTCACGTCACAGGGCCAAAGAATCGCTGGGACGAAGGCAACAGGCTGTCGTCTTTAGAGCGAAGGAGGTTGGTGGAGGACTTGTAGATTGTAGAATGTAAAGGGAACAGTGGGTGGTTAGGAAATAGACACTGGTACAGATTATAACATTTGTCAGTGGAATGAGAAAAGTAGGCAATAGAAAAAGGAGAAATTAGCGTGAAGAGAAGCTTTCCTCGGGATTTGGGGAAGAGCCCTGCACAGCCTTCGAAAAGAGGGGTAAGGACTGGTATCTGGGGAACGATTGGAGATGTAGAAGATAGAGGTCTTCAGGGGTTAGAAAAATAAGATCTTGACTGAGTGGAAGGGGAAGCCTTAAAGGGACATGAAGACGCCCACTTCTTCCTCTGGGCCTAGAGAATGAGCATTGGTGCAGAGCAAGTGAGGAGACCTCAGGAAGGGCAGGTGATGAGAGCAGTCCGCTGTGTTGTTGTGTGATGTATTTGTAAGTGGAGCTTGCTGTGCTGAACTTACTTTGGAAGTGAAAATAAAAACAACCCCATAAGTTGTTGAGACCTAATTCGAAGGTAATTTACTTCAAGATCTTTTTATTGGTGTAATTAATTGGGAGACTAAATTAGAACTGTATTTTACTTGAATCTCTCTTCATTTTTACTACAGGTTACATCTTAAGTGTTGTGCTGCTAACCTTGCCCAGGCAGTACCTGGTTCAGCTTTACCTATATTTTTTGACTGCCCTGCTCCTCTATGCTGGACATCAAATCTCCAGGTACGAATGTGACCCCATTTTTGAAATGTATGACTGAATTTAAAGTTTTCCTTTACCAATAAACTACTTTTCATGAACACTGTTAAGAAGCTGAGGCTTTGGTGGGTACCCAAAACAGGTGTTTTTGATACTTGTTTTCTAAATAAATATTAGCGTACAGGATTAATAGCTGGGGTTATGCCTCAAATATTAGTTCTGCTTTCTAAAATGATTTTACTATAAAATGGGCCTTAAGGTTATGTTTACAGTGATACCCATGAACTTTTCTGTATTACCTGAGAAAAGAATTTCCAAAGACAGGCTGTAGGAGCCCTTTAACAATTACAGACTTCACTGCTTTCATTATTTTAGGGAGTCAGTTTATGTTGCATGAGAATCAGCATAAGATGCAACCATGTACATAGTGGATGATTGATATAAATTATTCGATGAGGTTACTTGTATAGCTCAGAACTTCTGCCTCTTTAGCAAGAGTGTCTGTTTGCCTAGATCTGCTAGTCCTAAAACTTGAGACTGGTCTACCAATGACTAAGAGCACCCTACTTTGGAACAGAAAATTAAAGTACAGGTCAACCAAAATCCACACAGTAAATGTAGTGGGGTAGAATAATTTCGGGGGTAAAATTTTGTCTGTTTTGATTGAAATGTATAACCATAGTAAAATATCCCCCCAAGTGCTAAGAAGAGTGACAGTTACTTTGCATATGTAACAAGGTATGATTGTCTAGAGGCCTGAAACACAGATTTTGGTGTAGGCTTAAAATTTAATCTTAGAAATAGCATTTTTGTATGACTAGGATCGAGTGGTTGTCTTTAAAAACCTTTTTCCCCCCCTGATTATAAAATAATAATGTTCACTGTAGACAACTTCTGGGAAACACAGAAAATTTAAAGGCAATAATAATCACCTGAAGTTACACCACCTGTTAAAATTCTGATATTTCCTTCCAGGTTTAAGTACAGTTTTTACCACTGCATTGGATGTGAAAAAGTGAAAGTAGTTGATAATCCTTGACTCTTGGCCCTTCTTGTTGAAGCAGAAAAGGTCCTGCTTCACCCTCCTTAATGTTTCATCCAGTTAGTTCTGAGAGGGCCCAGAGTGTTTCCCAGAAGCCCAGTCTTTTCACATCCCTCGCCTCTGTCCCTGCCATTGATTTCCTCTGCTCAAAACGGCACCTGGAGGGTGGTGACTTACTCTTATCTTGCCCAGGGTATGTCCTCACATGTCAGAGTTGCAAAATCTGGAGCTGCCGGAGTAGTGCTGCGTTTCTGGTAATCCTTATGGTGGTTCAAGTCAGGCTGTGTTTTACTCTCAAGTGGAGACGATGACTCTTCTAATTTGGTGTCACACAAGCATGTTCCTGTGCTTAGGCTCCTTTCCGGGAACAACTTGGGCCTTCTGCAGTAGGATCGTTCTCCATAGGCCCCAGGGCCAGCGCTACACAGACAACATTCTGGCCGTCCCTTTCCAGTCTGGCCCCAAACCCTCGACACAGTCGCTTCCTGTGGCCTTACCCAGACACCTGAATCTCAGCTCGAGCTCAGAGCAAACAGAAATTGTGCCTGTAGAGTATGATGCAGTAATTCATCCTTTTAGGGTATAATGAGTCCCTGGGCATTTAAGAGTGCCACATCTCTTGGATTAATGGATAGGTGATTACGTAGGTTCACATTTTCACAGTCCTTATTTACTAACCTGTGTCACTTATCTCTCAGTCTTCCTCACTTGTAAAGTGGTGATAATATCTTAAGAGCTATTGTAAAGTTTTAGTAAGATAAGGCACGTAAAGCTCTTAGCCCAATTTCTGACATACAACAAGTGCTTAGCAAATTTTAACACATCCTTATATCTTGTTTTTATTACACAGCATTGTTTTATAAGCATTTCCCTATTTCGTTAGTCTTTATTTCATTTACTTTTTTAAATATAATTCTCCACGTTGCTATGCTTCTAGTACTTAGGAAATAGTATTATAGTAGAATGACTCAGAGTCAGAGACACTTTTTTTCAGAAATTCTGTATTCTGATTTCTTTGTTTAGTTGTATCACTTCTGCTCCTAGAATGATATTTGTATCATTATATAAGAGTACTGTGAAATGAAAGGTAAAATTAAAAGAAAAATAGCTTAGTTTTTTCTCAGATCATACACTTAGAAAACTCTCTTAACTAACCAAATCAGAAGTTGCCCAAAAGGCTATCAATACTTCACACAGTTTAATAATATTGAGGTTCTAAATACTGTTGTTAGTCTTTAAAAATATGACTTTTATGTGGCAGGATATTCCATGCTGTAACTGTATAATGGTAACTTTTTTTTAAAATCCTCACCCAAGGGTATGGTTTTCATTGGTTGTAAAGAGAGAGGAAGGGAGAGGGAGATAGAAAGAAACATCTGTGTGAGGGACATAAGTGGACTGCCTCACGCATGTGCCCCAGCTGGGGTCTAACCTGCAACCTGTGTATGTACCCTGGCCTGGAATCCAACCTGTGGCCCTCCTGTGCCCACTGAGCACACCGCCCAGGGCAGGATAGCTTTTTAAAGTTAATAGGATTTTTTGTTTCTGTTTTATTTTTTCCAATACCATTTACCAAGTACCATATGATTTCACTCATACGGAATTTAATAAACAACCTGAACGATGAAGCAAAATAGAGACAGACTCAGAGCAGGCAGACAGCTCTGTTGGAGGGAGGTGCAGGGAGTGTGGAGGGATCGAGCAAGAAAGTTAATAGAATTTTGAGGATCAATCAGAGAAATCTCAAAGTTGAAGGTAGAACTATTAAAATTATTGCTTTGCTAGCTAGTTATTATAATCCTGGGTAAAAAAAAACAATGAACCTGCCCTTTCCCTCATGGTTTTCAGTTTTCATGTGGTTTGTGGTATAGTGATGACTGAAACCATGTAGCTCTATTTTTATCTATGGTATTACCATCCAGCCTTTTTTAGAGAGGTCACAATTCTCTTATGTAAAGATAAAAGGGTGAGCCGTAAAGAAAAGCCTTTTCCCGATCATTCTTGGGACAAGTTCAGCTTTTTAGTTTACGTAGGATTTTTTTTTCTGATGTTTAAGTTTTGTTCTCTTTATTAGAAAATTCAGGCTTATTTTAAACAATAAAGGATTGTAATAAAATTTTACAGCGTACAAAAATATTTCCTGCTCTTTATTTCATTTTGAGCCTTATTATAATGCTTTGAGATTTACAGATGAAAATCCTGAAGTGGACAAACAGGGACGATGCCAGACTTTAACTTGACTTTAGGTTTTCTGGTTCTTAGTTCAGTTCTCTTAGGGGGAGACAGGATGGTTAATGGAAAGAAAATTAGTTTTAGAGTCAGAGTAGGTATGAAATAGTTCTACTACTGAGTAAATACTGTGTTACCTTGGCAAGTTACCTCTATGAAACTAAAGACTGCGCATCTTATGGAGTTAGTTTTGATATTAACAAATTTCAAGGTATGTTGTATTTTAAGTATTTCTCTTAGTATAACTTACACTGCTTCTCACAAAAGGTCAGCAAAGATGTGTTATTCTTGAATTACTCATACGTAACATGTCACCTTAGTCAATATTGAGGCTGGAATATGTCATGTGTATAAAACATTGAGGCTGAAGAGTTTAGTTTTTAAAAATAACAACAGTTCAGATTTCATGTGGCGGTTTTATAACCAAGTGTCTTTTTTAAAAATAACAGCTTTATTGGGATATAATTCACATACCTATTTAAAGTATACAGTTCCATGGGTTTTAGTACATTCATGGAATTGCAAACCATCACCACAATTGATTTTAGAACATTTTCATCACTGCAGAAAGAAACCCCGTAACCAGCAGTCACTCCCCATCCCCTGCCACCCCCACCCCTCATCACTAGGCAGCTGTGAAGTCTGTTTTCTGTCTCTCTGGGTTGGCCTATTCTGAACATTTCGTGTACATTGAATTGTACAGTATGTGTTTCTTTGTGCCTGGCTTTTTTCATTTGGCATGTTTTCAAGGATCCTCCATGGTGTAGCATGCATCACTTTATTTTTCTGTCCAAACTATTCTATCCTATGAATAGACCACACATTGTTTATCCATTCATTCATTGATGTATATTTGGCTGTTATGACTAATGCTGTAAACATCTGTGGTGTTTGTGTCAACATACTTTTTTTTTCTTGGGCACATACCTTGGAGTGCAATTGCTAGATCTTACTGATATTTAGCCTTTTGAGGAACTGCCAGGCTATTTCTAAAGCAGCTGCGCAATTTTACGTTTCCACCAGCAATATATGCGGGTTTCAGCTTCTCCATATCCTTGCCAGCACTTGTTGATGTCTGTCTTTTTTAGTATAGACATCATAGTTAGTATGAAGTGATATTTCACTGTGGTTTTGATTTGCATCTTCTTGATGGCTGGTGAGGTTGAGCATCTTTTTGTGTGAATCTTCTTTGGAGAAATGTTTATAAATATGGTTTCAAATGTAATGTTTTCCCAAGAGTGAGTTATGTATAAAATACAGGTAACTAGCCCTCCATCTTATGAAAGCTTATATACTTCTAAGCTGTAGATGAGGTTTCTCTATTTGGGGCCTATTGGCATTTTGAGCTGGGACAGTTCTGTGCATCATGGGCTATTAATAACACCCTGCCTCTCCTCACTAGATTGCAGAGCATCCCTCCTCACAGCAGTTGTGAAGCCAAAAACTGTCCCTGATTGCCAAATGTTGTCTCCTGGGAAACAAAATTTTCCTCGGTTGAAAACCATTGCTAATAGGTTACATAATTGTCAAAATGATTTTTGTCACTACATACTCAACTTTAATTTTTGATAGGAATGAAATTGACCCATTTCAGTGTTTGACATTTTCTTCTTTTGAACATTATCAGATCCAGGCACTAAATATTTAGCAGGGGGTTGAAAGGATGCTGAAGAGAGAAGCAGGGTGGCAGAGTGGTAGAGATGACTTAACTAAACCCTGGATAGATGACTATTCCATTACTAGCACAGTGCTT